TGTGATTAGTGGGTATTTCTTCCATCACTGTGTTTTGAAGAGTAGCTGTGTTCCTTTGCAAAAGAAGAAATCTGTCTTTCAGCAGTCCATCAAAACTACTCTGATCAAAATTACGAAAATGCTTCTTCCACAGGACCAGAGCTCAACATCATCCATAGCAATATGACAGCTACAGTAACAAAGGTGGGTTTATGGCATTAAGTCTTCCCTTAGCTTTCATGACATATTCATCAACTACCCAAAATCTTCTGCCATTTCCACTTCCTCTCTGAAGGGGACACAGTCTTAATCATCTCTTTGTCTCCACCTTATTCCTGTTTATCTTATTCATTAAAACTTCATTCAAATGTCACGTCTACGCTTCTTAGATGGAGACTGACTTCTTTATACCAGATTTTTCTCCTCATATTAGAACATCACACAATCTTTCTGACATATTCTCATGTTTTTGCAAGGAATTCAAAAGGCAGCAAGGACAAGATTGTAATTCATTGCGTTCTTTTTCTAGTTATAAAGGCCCTTGTCTCTCTCCCTGTGTGACCAGGGATTGTGCATTTGGTCCTTCATGTCACTTTGCAGTGTCCCCTGCTTCAGCCTTGTCACTGTTCCAGAATTGTTCAGGTACCTTTAAGAACTTAAGGAAGTTGAGGAGGGCAGGAAGGCAGCAGGCAAGGTTGTTGATTAGATAAAATCAGTGTACACTACCTGAACTCCTGTAATGTTTTAAATATATCACATTGCAGCAGCCATTGCTTTCTAAATGAAAGCTCATGTCCACACTGTATGGATTTTTATGAGATATAAGATCTCATTTTAATGGAGAATATTGCAGCTGAATATATATTTGAGTATAAATTGTAAAATCTAGTATTTTCCACTTAGCTATGTTTTACTTTAACTGACAATACCCAGAATTGTATGGGCTAGCTATCTTCCTTGAGCTACAGACGTTCTCTGGCTTGGTGACCTGCACTTAAAATTCTTCTTTTAATGTTTTATCTTTATTAATATTTAAGCAATAATCCCTATTAATATTGGTATTGCTGTTGAATATCTTTCAGTAAAGAGCATGCTCTGCTTTTCGTTGAAAAATGTAATTTGCTGAACGATTTCCACTGCAGCTGAGCTTTGTCTACAGTAGCAAAAGCATCATAAATGGCTAGTCCTAGGTGCATTAAAAAAAAGAAAACAACCATGCTGTTGACATGACAGAAAAACTGTCTGGGAGAGAAGAGCAGGAAAATCTCTTTTGATTCTGGTTTTCATTATTTGTGTTGAAGAGAGTATGTACAATTTCTCTTTTCTTTAGCTATACACTTGCAATTACTGGCCACATATTTCTTAATGTGTTCAAAGCTACGAGACTGACTGCCTGCTTATCACTCCAGCACCAGCTCCTTCCTGCTGTACCCCTGTGCTGAACCTTGACCTGTAGAGATTAGCTCAGTCTACAGAAAGGGGCAAGGGGAAATTTGGTCTTGCAGCCCTTTTGATCTAATCTTTTCTTCTCAGACCTTCAGGAGTATTACCAGAAAGTTTGGAGTCTGCTAGCAATTGAGTGACTTTTCTGCATATTATACTTGCATTTTCCTTTGATAAAACAATATTAAAATAATCCATTTTGGAGTGTGAAGCAATGAATTGTAACTGAAGATATGGTGCAAGAAGATAATTAACTATTTTTGATGTTAAAACATTTGTTGAAGTGATGATAAAAATAGAAGAGCATTACTTCCCACTCTGAGTGTATGCAATCAAAAGGCACCTGCATGACTCTGGATTTTAAATTGAACATGGAATCAAATAATAATGCAACAAAACTGCTTGAAAAGAATTGTGCGGATCATTAAAAGATCTTTTGTTTCTCCACCCTCCTTCTAATATTACCTTCTATTCAGACATGGGTTATTCCTTTCTGGCTACCATTTGATCTTTGCACACAGACAAAGAAAGGATTACACTTATCACAGCAGGTAGCTTTGAGGTAGTGCTTTTATCCAAAGCCAAACAAAACTATAGCAGTAGTACAAAAGTAAATTAATTACAGAATAGGTGCAGTACTTTTTGTATTCCAAGAAAGCACAAAATGCTTCCAACCACATCTGTACTGTAGTGCTTATTTATGTCTTCTGTTGATCCTCAGGCTCCTCCTAAAACTGACAGTGCTCTCCTACCTGAACATCTGCACATACGGTTGACCTTCACACCTACATCTGTTCAACCATTCTCACCTAATTATTCACCACATTCTGTTCTATATGTTTGAAAGTCACAAAGCATCAAACATCATTTTGGCCAAATGCCCTTTTAAAATCCAGGTTGTGAGCTGATTATCTCTTTTTGACCTTGATAAAATCCCTACAGCAGTGAGTCTCGACCCCAGCTGTTGAAGTTGCTTAAGCGGCTTCTCATGTGTCATAAACAGACAACAGTTTTTATTACATATATTAACCTACATTGCATTGTTTAGCCATATACCAGAAAAATACACATAGGAGATATTTGAGCCTTTAAATATTTGCTAATTAATTACAATCTGCACGTACCACATTGTGCTCTGAATTCAAACATCTACTCTGTTCTAGAAGTTCTGGAAATCATGTATTTTTAGTTTGTATTTTCACCCGCCTAAGCAAAAGCCACACTGTGCCAGTATTCATGTGCTTCCCATACTCAGGTATTCAGTTTGCTGTCAGGACAAACATATGTTTTCTCATTATCTAAGTGTGGGAGATGAACCTTTCATCAGACAGATTTTCTTTTAATGAGACTCTGAATCAGGTGACATGACAAACCTGATGTTAGAATTTCTCTCCTCAAATAAATATTCACATTTCACCTTAGCTACAATATTGGACAGCAACTAGATGTGAATAAATGTTACAATAACCCATTATTTCTGCAGAGGCTATTTGAAGTATATCATGTACAAAACACCAGCATAGAGGGTTTCATGTGCTTTGTTTTATGGAAACGTTTATGTTGCCCACTGAACTGTGATCTTTAAAAGAGCTCAACTTTGATAGCTTTATATCCTGTCAGATTTTCATCAAGAACACTACTAAGCAAGGATCCCATTACTGTTCAAATATCTGTGTTAATGAATTATAAGCAACACAGGATGATGTGTCTGTCCCATCACTTTTTACTTCTTTTCTTCAAAACTCAATCTTCCTTTCTTTTGGATCCCATTTGCAATCCCAAAGTCTTCAGTTAGGAAAAGGAGCTCCAAAAGGAAGCATCAGTGTTACACTCCCTCAGGTTCGCGCTTGCATTTGCAACATTTATTAATGCAATTTTTTTTTTGCAAAGTGTAAATTTCTTAAATGCAACTGAATCTTAATGTGCTATATTTTGCCCCAGAGAATCAGAAAATCAGAGATGAAGTCTGGATTCCCTTTGGTATTAGAAAAGATTTGTGATGACTATTCAATGGTCTTTCATTCACTTGCCTCTCAAGACTGGAGGAGGGGGATCTCCATAGAACCTCTTTGACCTCTTTTACACTATCTGAACTTCAGTAAGGCCTTTGATGTAGTACCCCACAGCATTCTTCTCTCCAAATTGGAAAGATATGGATTTGATGCATGGACTGTTCAATGGACAAAGAGCTGGCTGCAGGAGAGTTCAGAGAGTGGAGGTCAGTGGCTTGGTGTCTGGATGGAGATTGGTGATGAGTGGTATTCACCAGGGGTCAGTACTAGGATTTATACTCTTTAATACCTTCATCAGTGACACTGGCAGTGGGGTCGAGTGCACTCTCAGCAAGTTTGCTGATGACAAGCTGTGACACATCAGAAGGATGAAATGCCATTCGGAGGGACTTAGCGTGAGCAGTGGGCCCAGGTGAACTTCATGAGGTTCAACAAATCCAAATACATAAGATTTTGTACCTGGGTTGAGGCAACCCTCACTACCAGTACAAACTGGGGGACTGAGCACAGCCCTGCTGAAAAGGATTTGGGGGTACTGGTGGATGAGAAGCTGGACATGAGCTGGCAGTGTGCTTTTGCAGCTCAGAAAGCCAAATGTATCCTGGCTTGCATCACAATAAGTTTGGCCAGCAGGTCAAGGGAGATGATCCTGCCTCCAGAGGAGAGCCACAAAAATGATCCAGGGACGGAACACCTTCCCTACGAGAACAAACTGAGAGAGATGGGGCTCTTCAGCCTGGAGAATAGAAGGCTGTGAGGTGACCTGATAGTGGCATTTCAATATCTATAGGGGATCTACAGGAAAGAAGGGGACAGATTTATGGCTTGTGAAGGTTGCCACTTCTCAATGATCAAAATCTGCTTCTCTGATTCATCATGAATTTTCATTTTCATCATGAAAAGAGCTCTATCCTCTTTATCATTAAAAATCTACATCTAAGATGCTTTTGGCTATACTGCTAGAAACTAGCACTTCAGGACTCAGGCATGGCTTTCCCTGTTGCCTGCCTTCCAAAAGAAGGAAGCTGGATCATGGAATATACATTTTCAGGGTTTAGCAAAATAGAAATTAGCACATCCAGCCACAACTGATGCATTTTCTTTGTCATTTCCAAAGGTGGCTTTGCATTTTCACTCTGAGTTTAGTGATCTTCAGTGAGATTCCAGCAGGTCTTCTCTAAGAAGTCTGTCTTCAATAAGTTTCAATCAGCAAAATAACACTTTTTGCCAGGAGAATACTTTCTAGAATAATTTAATAGTCATTGCTATGGTTGCATCCTTGTCTCATTAAGCTGCAAATTTCAATATTCTACAGAGTTATAGTAGACTAAGATATTAATTCAGAGTAGACTAGACTAGAATAGTTCAGTTGGAAGGGACCTACAAAGATCATCTACTCCAATTGCCTGACCCCTTCAGGGTTAACAGAAGTAAAAGCATGTTAACCATTGTCCAAGTGGCTTGAACACTTACAACTTTAGGGCATCAACCACATGTCTAGGAAGCCTATTCCAAGGTTTGACCATCCACACTGAAAATTTTACCTAATATCCAGTCTGAACTTACCCTGACATACTTCTGTGCTGTTCCCACATCTCCTACCTTTCTCTCCCAGAAGCAGAGCCTGGCACCTCTTTCTTTGCTTCTCCTCCTCATAAGGCTGCACAGAGCAATGAGGTTACTTAGGCTCCTTTTCTCCAGACTGGACATTGCAAGAGTCTGAATTAATTTACTAATTCCTTGCTCTATCACTCTTTGCACTAAATTGCATGCACTTTGGATATGATTAGTAAGCAAAGTAATTTCAAGTGTAAACACTCCAGCCTTCGAGAGAACTGAACCAACCAGTGTCAGCCAGGGAAGGGAGGAGACTTGAGAGTAAATGATAAGGAGTGAAAAGCCAGTCAGAACAGGGGTTTTGGGTTAAAACACAAGCCCAAATACAAATGATAACTTAGGAAAAACAAACACAGCTAGTTTGACAACATTACTGCAAGAGTGGGTCACCTTCTAACCTTCCTATCCCTTGTCTAAGCTGCGTGGTTTTTTCCCTAATGGAATATTAATTTTGTTTTGTTGTAATTAGTAAAAACTGTCATCATTTAAACAGCAAACACGTAAGATAACTCTCAGAAAGACTTGCTTTAGGCCTAGGGATTACAGCAACAAACTCACACAGATCTTCTTAATGGTGGCTGTAACCTATCCACAAGATTTTAAAGAAAATATTAACAGGCAATACATGCTTACTATTAACCATGTGTATTCTTGCAGGTACAGCCTGAAAGACACTTGAAACACTGGCTTTGTTTCCTTAATTCATAATTCAAGAGCCTTGTTACTTGTGTGCTGCCCTAGCAGCAGAGCTGGCCAGGGCTGTGCTTGCTCCCTGGTTCCCTGGCATGACTTCTCCTGAAAGCAGGCAGCAGTGCCCAGCCAACCCAGCAGTGCCAGAGAACAAATACATACAATGAGATTCCATGCACCCTTTTTTTTCCTTTCTTCTTTCAGCCTAATGCGAGCATACCAAATGATCTCATAGCAGTGATTACTCTTTTTTTTTTTTCTCATTTAAAATAATTATGCTGTAATCTATGGGGTTATTAGATATAGACACTAGTTAAATAGTATGTTCATGCCTTCTGGCCACAATATGCCTATAGTGACCCCTCATCATAGAGCAGAGCGCTGTAAATGCTAATTTTTAACACTAAATCCTTTGAACAATACCTAGCCTACATCATTCTCAACAGCATCCCATGAAATTATCTGCCTTGAAGATTGCAATAGTGCAAGAGAGTCATTACAGTTAGTTTAAATCAGTTCAATCGATGCACATGTAGTTTCACTGGGAGAAGTGGATATCAGTCTAAGACATGAAGTCTTTGAAGAAATCTTCAACTGTTTCTGTAGTTTGTGTTCAGTAAGCATTAATTTTGTCACTGAGAACATTAATACCAGTAGCCTTGGAATATTAAAATTGAGATTGTCTTCCATGCTTCACCTCTATTGTAGAAGATATCGTCTTGAAAATTGCAGTCTAGAGGATATTAAACAGAATTTTGCCACATTTTAGACAACTTTATATATTTAGTTGGCAGACAGGTATGAATGATGCTGAAAACCTGCTGTACATCCAGAGCTGAAATCCCACTGACAATTTTTGTTGTACTTATGAAAAAGCAGAAGGTGGTACAGCTCAATATTGGGTTCTGTTGTTAAAAATAAAGATCAGTCAAAAGAATCAGAGGGAGAAAGGGAGGGAGAAAGGAAGGAGTGCACAGTAGATCAGAATAGAGTAATTTCTGAGTTTAGGCTTCCTATTGGCAAATCATTAAAGAGGATTAAAAATATTTCCATGAAAGAAAATTTCATTAAAAATGTCCTCACATCAAGCATGATACAGTTGGTTCATATATATGTCCATTAGCTGACTGCTGACTGATTTTAGTAATGGAAAAAAAAAAGAGAAACTCTTTTGGCATATGCATATTTTATTCATAGAAGTCTGTAAATATTTGAACCCACAGCTTGTTGCTCACAGAAGATGAGTGCAATGGCAGAGTCTCAGTTCTTGCTGTAAAATCCATGCTTTAGGCCCATGTGTGCTAAAAATGTGGGAGAGTGATGTGGTAAGAGCGGAAAAGACACAGCTCCCATAAAAGTTTACACACCCTGTTTCACGACTGTGAACTTTGGCAAAGGCTGGCAGTTAGAACACACTTCTTGTGCCAAGTCTTACTTACACATTTACGTATCTGCCTTTGCCCTCATCCCTCTCTGCAAATCCTCTGATGAGTGCAATGAAAGATGTCCAGCAAGCTTAAGACAAGTTTCTCTTATCTGACATACAAAGAATGGACATGAGATATTTTCTCAGGTATGAGAGAAAACCTGAAACACAGGTAAATGCAGAATATTTGTATGATGCTATAAACTTACGTGTTTACACTGAGAGATGACATCCTTAATTCAGATTGGATATCAGGAAAAGATTCTTCACCAGAGCATGCTTGGGCACTGGAACAGGCTCACCAGGGCAGTGGTCACTGCCCTTTGCTGTTGGAGTTTAAGAAGTCTTCTGACATTTTCAGACATACGGTCTGATTTTTGTGTACTCCTGTGCGAAACTAGGAACTGGACTCAGTGATCCTTATTGATTCCTTCCTACTCAAGTTATTCTATGATTCTGTGTTTCTTACACACCCTGCAGCTCTGAGGGGGATGAGGAAAGGCTGGGATGGATGGCAGGACAGGGCAGCTGTGCACCAACACAGGCAGAGGAACTGATGAAGACAGACAGCCCCTCTCCTATCAAAGTGCAAAGGAGTACAGTGATCGCCAGGTGGTTTCACACCTCACTGTTGTTTTTCTTTCCAAGGTCTTTCCATGTAGCAGAAAGAACTATGTCCCATTTTATACTCATTATTCCTGAGACCAAATCAAAATTCCTCAAAGTCACAGAT